GCTTTGGAGAGACTTGCACAAGGAGACAGATAACGAAGCACTCATAAGGGCGAGCCTGGACCTTATTGAAGAACATCGCAGCAAGGCTTCGCTAAGGATAGCAGCCTATCAGCAGCGAGCGAAGAAGTTCTTCCATTCAAAGGTTCGGCAAAAAGACTTCTAGGTCGGCGACCTGGTGATAAAAGAAGTTCTCCTTGGAACTAGAGAGCCAAGTGCGGGAGTTTTAGGGCCGAACTGGGAAGGTCCTTATCGCATTGATAAAGTAATCAGACCGGGGACTTATCATCTCAAAAGGCTAAACGGTTCCAAGGTACCTCGGGCCTGGAATGCTGAACATCTTTGGCCATACTACCAGTAACTCCGAACTCAGCTTTCCTTGTAAATTAATTTCTGATTTTTTGTAAGTCATTTCTTTGTAAAGTTTTTATCTTGAGCATCTGTAAACGATCTCTATATAATCCATTTCGTGTGAATAAGTTATGACATCTTTGACTTAATGAATGTAAACAATAGGAAAGAACTCATGTATGATAAAGCGAACAGAAAATTGTAAAGGCAAAAATGTATTTCATTGCTATAAAGTACAGCAGGAAGGAAGACATGGTTACAAGACTCAATCCAGCCACTTCGGGGCCAACCTCCTCGTTCTAGGGTTGGTCGGCTGGGGGTTTGTTCGTTGCGTGTCCCGAACCTTCTGGTCGGAAGGCCGCCGCTTCATCATCCTCCCGTGCCATGGACATAAGTGTTTGTTGCCAGTCTGCCGGGAGGTCAGACATGTCTAAATGAGGATTCTTTGGTCGCAAGGCATAAATAGAGTCGATTGCTCATTCGGCAACCTTCTCCTCAACCTCCTCTATCAAGGATGCAACTTTCCCTTGATTCTCTTGAAGTTCAACTTCAAGAGCCTGCCTTAACTTCTCAGAGGCCTCTCTCTCCTTTTCTGCTCACGCGACCTACAAGGAGGTCGCTTTCAACTCCTGGTCCTTCTCCCCGGCCATTCTAAAGAAATTGGCTACGGTCCTTTGCAGCTTCTTTATCTCCTCTCTCTGCTTCTCGAGCTGCGCTTTCTGGAAATCCACCGTGCGAAGAGCCACATTTCTTTCGTTCAAATAGCTATTCACTGATTCGAGAGACAGGTTTCTCTCTGCTTCGGCAGCTTCCAAGCTTCGTTTAAGCACTGCGTTCTCTTCCTTCAGGGTGGCACCTCCCTTCGCAGCTCCCAGTTGTGCCTTTTCCATGGACATCTTCATGGAAAGGAGAGCCTGCGAATAAAAGAAGAAAGAGTTAGGTAATCAAAAGAAGTTAAGTCCTCGCCGAGGACAGTTCGCTCACCTTGCTCATATGCTGGATCGATGTGGACATGAGGTCCATGTCGCTGGAACTTGCGAACTGCTCGAAAGATTCCGAGAGTCCGCATTCAAGCAGGGCATACACCACTGGTTGCAGGTACTCCGGTAGATGCCTCAGCGAGTCCAATACTGATGGACCCTTCTTCGCGGCCTCAGCAGTCGTCGTGTCGTCCATAGGCGCCTTGCCTGACTTGTTCGCATCCGGCTGCGACCTCTTTGGCTACTTGCCTTCGGATTCCGTATCTGATTCCTCAACCTGAATCTGTTTCCTCTTTTTTCACTGGGCCACGGTTTTCATCCTTGGCCGAGCAGGCGACGGCTGGGCGACCTTCGTGGTTCGTGTGGGTGCGTCCTTTGCCAGCTGTGGCTGGCTTGGGGTCACGCCCTCAGCCTGGGAGGCTGTTTGCCAGCTTCAGCCGCCTTCGCTTTCTTCGTCCAAGGAAAGTTGATGGGCCTTCAGTGAGGTTGCTCTGGTTCCTTTGGCGGCATGGTTGCTGCTGCATGCAAGGCGAGGTTAGTGAAGGTATTTTGTTCCACGACCAAGAAAAGAGTCAGTTAAGGAAACTCACATTGTAGGGGTTCTAACGACGCGCTGGCGTTAAAGAAACCGTACTTCTACAAATTCGCGATTGTCACAAGTGTCCTCGCGTCGCGCTTATCTTCAGGAAGGGAGCCGAACTGCAAGATTCTTCTTCTGTCGTGGAGCAGCCCTAGTTCAGTTGTCTTGTTAACTGTCCAGAAAGGAAAATTAGGTCGTTAGAGCGAACACGCTTCGAGCGCAATAAGTTCGCCAAAAACAAAACAGAAATACAAACAAAGAGAAAGAAGCCTACTCGGATCCTAGAAGCGGCAATGGCCATCGTAACGAAAGAAGAAAAACTTCGTTTCGTAGGCCCCCACGTTGCTGGGATAACTGTGTATCCCGTCGGCAATGGTAGGTCGCTTGGACAAGTAATACGAATCCTTGTCCTTGCTCTTCTTCAAATAATATGAGCAGCCGAGTTCTAGGGCTGTCAGTTCGCCTAGTCCGTTCTCCCGGCACGCGATGTACATTGTAACAGCAATGACATATGCGTTCGGGGTTAGTTGCATTGGCGCGACCCCAAAGTGGTCCAAGAACGACCTGATGAAAGGGTGGAGGGGGATAAGTCCTCCACCCTTGATAATATCCTCGGAGATCGCGGCTAAGCCTTTTGAAGGGTATCGCGATGGGTGCGTCAGGTCGTGGAATACGTCCACTTCGATGCCGAATTGGCTTATTACCCTCTCAAGCTCTTCCTCGGTGAGTACCGAGAAAACCTCAAGAAGGATGCTAGGAGCACCGTGCAGGGACGAGCTGGTTCCCTGCTCAGGGCTGATATCAGAGTGGTCCATTTTGCCAGTCTGCAAAAGTGACAAGCAGAAGGATTATTCGGTCTCCGTACGTTATATTGTACGATGACATGGGAGGAAATACGTTCCCTCAAATCCTAAATAAAAACCCTAGCAACATGGTTTGAGCCGCCGTTCGCGGCTCGAACCAGACACAGACGACTAGTCTCCGATGGATTACCAAAGGACCGACGCCATTAACTCATGGAAAAAATGAGATGATGACTAGAAAACTCTTACCTCTTGGAGTACGACAATGGTGTCTACTTCAGATGCCGGGAAAATGTAAGTCTGGAAGACAAAGGTTCTTGGCCTACGAAAATCTTTTGTTCTCTATGAAAAAGGCTTTGGTAACATTGCTTGAGCGCGATTTGAGGGTTTTATAGCGCGTGGATCGGTGTTTGGATTTCTCGGAATTGAAACGACGTTCGAGCGGTAAAGGTTTCTTACCGTAGATCTTGGCCACGTGTCACTCATTAGTGAGGAAGAGTGAACGATACGACTGGATGAAGTCAAACTTACGCCTTTCCAGTTGAAAAGCTTAAACGACGGCCATATCTCTCTCAGAGCATTAATTGCGTCTCAAATCTTCATTTAATGCTCTGATAAGGTGCACCGTTCCAACGCATGTTGCATTTAATGCCCTGATAAAGCGCACTATTTCGGCATGCAAGGCATTAAATGTGATTGGCTGGCATTCACCACGCAAGGGGTACACTTGTCAGCGCAGGAATGGCTTCATTAAATGCCTTCCCGTTATCAAAATAAATGGGTGACACAAGGCAAAACCAGGTCGCTCGTCCTTGGGCATGCGAGGTCGCGCTCTTGCAAATGCTGCTCCGACCTATTTTCGAACAGATTAAAGTTTTCAGGAATCATCTAACCGCGGCACGATCTGTAGTTTCCAAGGTTCAATCCTCAAACCTTAAAAACTAGGGGGCTTCTGTTACGCCTAAAAATATAAGGGCTGACGTCAAGACCCTTTAGCCCACAAAAGTCAAACCATTGGAACAGGCACCGTCTACGTCTGTCAGGGTAGTGGGCGCGCGTCAGGCTAGTCAGGAGGCTGTGGCGCTCCCACGTGTCCAATCCCTGCTCTAAATCGCGCATATCACTCTGGAAGGTGGGCAATGTGACATAAAGAAGGATTTGCAGGGATAATCCCACTAACTCGCAGATTTAGTGATGATTGCCTCAATGCATCTGACTATAAATTAGGAATTTATCTCTCATTAAAGGGATTCGCACCTTTTTCACTCGATTAATTACTCTTTCTCTCTTTTCTCAGCAATCAATATCTTGCAATATCATTGTAACGTCAGTCAGCTAATAGCGACCTGACTCCTATCATCAATATAAGCATCAGTGGACGTAGGACTTACTACTTTAGCATCCAAACCACTTTAAAAATTGTCTTTATTACATTTAGTATCCCTCATCCATTAATTTCACGTGCGATTTCAGGACTCTCTGCACCATTTTACACGTGCGTTTCGTTGGTGCAAAACCCAGCATCAACAAAATACAACAAACCTGAAATATAATTTTTTTAATATTTTTATTCTCTAATTTATTGTAATATTTCATAAGGTTATTTTATCTCTCCCTCTGTGAGTTCACTTAGAATTAAATTCATCCATTTTATTTTGAAAGTATATAAAGCCAATGAGTTTAATACTGAACAATCTTATAGGGAAAATTTAAAATAAACATATATTTTATATTTTTCATGAAAAATGATAACTAATCTGTTTTTTTATTTATTTATTTTATATTCAGATAGTGTTTTAACAATTGAAAATGAATTCGTATTCAAATAAATTTTTTGTTTTTGTGGTTTTCAATACTGGAGTGGGGAGATATTTGATGTTTTTCTTAAAAACAATTAATGCATTCAAAAATCAAAATAATAAAATTACTTAATAGAGTATAATATAATAAAAAAATCATTTTGAAAATTCTATAATAACAAAAATCTCCTTATCATTAATGAATCGTTAACAAAACATTAAAATTTATAAAGTTAGTAAATATTATCAAATTACCAATCTATCTATCTCTTATTCTAACGCCTAAATCTCATGGCGAGTTTTATTATTTTATCATAGCTTGAAGGATAAATTTCATTAACTCTTGAGTAAATTAAACTAAAAGTAAGGACAAGTGTGTTGACAAAGGTACAATTAGGCCAAGCACGTATAACAAAGACAAATGAAAAGATTGATTCCTATAAAGACCATGCTGAAATTGCAGGCCGGCGCCAAAACCCGAAAACGAAAACTAAATTGAAATTGAAATTGAAATGAAGATCTGATCAAAGCAAAAATGAGTGGGAGTAAACTGTGTGCATTGTTGAGTGAATTAGGTTACGAAGGCGCAGATACATTGGACCCTGACAGTTTCGAGTGGCCCTTTCAATACGATGACGCACAACCTATTCTCGATTGGATCTGCTCTTCTCTTCGTCCTTCCAACGTTCTCTCCCTCTCCGACCTCTCTCAGTTAAAATCTTTTTCCTTCTACTATTTCTTTAACTTTTAATTTTCAATTCCATATTTAATGCAACTTAATTTTTATCTTTTTTATAATTATTATTATTCTTTTTAATTTTTTACGTGTTAGGTGTGATCAATTTCTGCAAGAAGGAAAGCTACTGGAAGTAATATTTTTATTTTTTATTTTTTATTTTTTTTTGTCTTGGTATTTTTTTTTTTCTAGAAAACAAAATTAAGGTTATTGTTCAAATTATTATTAACAGGGGGAAGACCTGGAGTTTGCTTATGATAGCATTTCAGCCTTTTCTTCCCGGAGAGACAACCAGGAGGCTGTGTTTGGGGCCGAAGAAGGATTGAAAGATATAAAGTAGGTTGGATCAATGATATTGAACTCTATTTAATAATTAGTTTTTAGTTTTGTTAATTAGGAAGGTTGTTATTCCTTCCCGGATATTTCGTTGAAGATGACATTCTTACTGATTTTGATGGATTAGGGAAGTGACTCTCGCATATAAAGCTGAAGCTGCCGAGTTGCAGAAACAGCTTAGGCATCTGCAGTCCCAGTTCGACATGCTCACTTCCCATTCTTCGGCTTTGATACAGGGGAGACGAGCAAGAGTTGCCGCAACCTCTACTGTCAATGGGCACCTTACAACCTTAGATGACAGTCTTTCGGCTAGAAATTTACAGGTAATGGAGAAGGAAAAGGCTTTTTTACTTTGAAGGTTCATAAAATGGAAGTAGCTTCTTAATTTGTTGAAATCTAATCAAGCCTGAAGTCAAAGGGTTTTGCTTATTTCTTTGACAATGCTGGAAAGCAAATTACTAGACTATGGTTTATGCATATATCCATTTGGAAAAAAATCATTTGTATACGTTTAATTTTGTAAATGTTGTATTTGAGGTAATTATAAGCTACATGAAATGCACAGTTTGTGCCCATTAAAGAAGTACATGGAAAAGTGTTTGGTCATTTTTTTTAGATTTCTTTGATTTTACTAGCCTTATAACATAATGCTAATGCTCTTCATTTGGCTTGCGCCTACTTATGCTTTATACAGCTATTATAGTATTCATGGTCTCTTTACATGCATACAATCAATTCTTATGCACTATTGTTGTGTATTCGCGTAGCATGTTGGTATGAATATGAAGTTATTTCCCGATTTCTGCTTTCTTTCTTTCTCCTGCTTAACCAATTTTCTTCTGTTTCCTTTTCTTCACTGTGGTTGGAAGTCAGTTTCTACCTTGGTATCTTAGTTTTGATGCATAATTTTCTTTCCATAGGTAAATGTATATAACAATTTTTTTCCGGCTTGAACATTTTGAAATTTCTACCAAATACATCTATTGTAATTTAGATGAATGCAGTTCTGGGAAGGATAGCTTCTACCGCACAAGAGTTGGCTCATTATCATTCTGGGGATGGTAATTATAATCCTTTTCATTCTTGTACTTTTTCAGTTGTTGGCTATTGTAGAATTTTAGTAATGAAATCATAAAAAGGCATAAACTTTGACGCTGATTCTTAGAAAAAAAAAAAAAAGCAGTGTATCGTTTCTGTAAGGATGATTAACATAAATAACTTAAGTTGCATATTGGGGATTGTTTTAGGCGCCGGAGCCTGATCAACCTAAATCTATAAGAGTGATCTATTTCTTATATATATTTTTCAAGGCAAAACTTCCAATTACGGTCAGTATTATTTAAAAGTGGCATGCATCCTTTGTTTAAAAGTTAATATCATAAGTTGTGTTTTCATTGAGGTTTTTGAATCTTAAAATAAAGTGCGTCCCTAAATATAGGAGCTTCCAACTGGACCTAATTCTTTGAGTTGACTCCTTTTTCTAGAATGTTCTACAATCTACATCTTTCGGTGATTGATTAATGTTTGTACTGAACCTATATTTAACTATAAAACTATGTACTATCTTTCAACTAATTTTCCCTTTATTCTTTTGATGAGCTTTCATTTTTATTTATATGTGCAGAGGATGGCATCTACTTAGCTTACTCTGACTTTCATCCATACTTGCTGGGAGATTCAGCTTGTATAAAGGAGCTAAATCAGTGGTTTTCTAAACAACTGGACACGGTAGGTATATACAGAGCTGATATTGAGATGCTTTCCTTTGCTATGTATGATAACTCCTCTCTTTTTAATTTGCTCAGCCTATCCTAGCTTCAGGATCATGGCTTAAAAAATGTTGTGCATTCATTTTAAGCCCTAACCTCCTACATGTTTGGAAAAACAAATTGTTTCTCGTGCTTTTGTTGAATAAGTGTTTCCTATCTGTTTGCAACCGCACCAAAAATTGTCATTGCTTAAATGGATTTACAAAGATGTTTGGCAGCATAAAATAGTAATCTATAGCAACTGATTTAGAAAAAGTTTTTTTCCATTCTAAATACATTCTTCTGCTTTCCAGCCATTTTGAACCTTTTCTTTGACCTCTGCTTTCTTAGAAGTTTGGGTCTTATAACTGATTCTGTAACTGCTGGTCCATGCTGAAATTCAGTTCTGAGGGATTTGACTGAGCAATTCTGTTTCATGTTGTTTCATTTGCTTAGATCCTATAAAATAGTTTGGCAACTTTTTGACATTAAGTTTCACTTTATGTGCTGCACTGCAAGTATCCTAATGGTCCTTTGCCATAATCAGGACACAGTGATCCTTTTTCTTTTCCCGTATATTGATGGATTGGAACTTCCTTTCAGACCCTGAAATGGTAGTATATTTTATTTTGAGAGGATTAATAAACCGAGTATTTTTCTCATCATAGGATAGTGGGATCTTGATAGTACTTTTTCTGCATATTTCCTGTGATAGCTTATGAATTATTATTTTTTTATTTCCTAGTTTGGTGACTAAGTAAAGAATATATGTAGTTAATAAAGTTTTTGGATGCGTTTGTTTCCCTATCCTATTCCTATTCAAAATCAAAATGCATATTTGTTTCCCTATTCTCAAAATGCTATCCTAAATTATTCAACTATTTTTAATTTTTAAATCCTAACTCATAATAACCACACAATTCTACCTAACAATAATATTTCAAAAATACTACTCCAAATAACTAAACAAACGCATCCTTTAGTTTTCATGAATATTCTTCATATACCATGATGCTTGTTAGAATTATCTTTCCTTATCTTGGAAACTGTATCTTTGTAAGATTTATGGTCTGCTACATGATTGCAAGCAGGGTCCATTTCGATTAGTTGCCGAGGAAGGAAAATCAAAATGTTCGTGGGTAAGTCTTGACGATGTCTCAAATATATTAGTACGAGGTATGGTTCGCTATTGCTTCAAATAAGCTTGTATAGATGTATGTGTTTGCTTTTTAGCTCACTATGATATATATAAATAATGAATGGAGTAACATGTTTAACTTAATTATTGTTTTTGGCAACTTATTCTTTGGTTATTCATGTGGTGTAATAGAAACCTTATAGTTTGTTGGCTCAGATTTTTTCTTTTCTTTTTTATGTTTAAAAGCCTGATAATAATGAGTTAATGAACTTTTTTTCTGTTCTTGAAGCTAACCTATAGGTGTGTAGGAATTGTAATAGATTCTATGCATTATTGATGTGCATTTATGGCTAGGAGACTTGCTGATAAACAAAATATAGGCCAAATTACTAACAAAAGTTTGAAAAGTTTGACTTGTGTTTTAGTGAAGCTATTGTACTTATTCTTAATTGACTATCATTTGTTTTCATCACTACATTTCCTTCCTTTTTAGTACATACTACACATGCAGAAAATTGATTTGTTTTTCTTGTTTTTCCATTGTAGCAGATTTAGAAAAATCCCATCATCAACGTGTATCTGAATTACAACGGCTTCGCTCCATGTATGTAATTTTACCTTTTTCTTGTCGCCTCTTTTTAACAAAGTGCCGCACCACCAATTATTTGATGGTGTAAGCATGATCCTATAAAGGTATATAGAGTAGGGTTTAATTTTTTAGGAGAAACTTTTTAACTTCTGATCCTGACAAGAAATCTTGTTTTACATCCATATTCTTGTGAAAGAACCTGGAGGTAGAATAACTGTTACAATTGTTATTGTGATTAACTTTTGTGGAGAAACTTCTTTGTAAGTTGCCCCTATAGAAACTACTGAGAAATATATATAAAATAAATGAATAAGTAAAATTCAAGAAAAAGTTGTAAGGTTATTAGTTACAATATTCAAGTTAGCACTTTGAAAGGAAGGAGGCTAGATGGGCTGCTGACCAATATGGTTTTCTTGTATTGATTGTATTCCGTTCTTGGTCCTAGATTTTGATAATTAGGTGCAAGNCCTTTAGTTTTCATGAATATTCTTCATATACCATGATGCTTGTTAGAATTATCTTTCCTTATCTTGGAAACTGTATCTTTGTAAGATTTATGGTCTGCTACATGATTGCAAGCAGGGTCCATTTCGATTAGTTGCCGAGGAAGGAAAATCAAAATGTTCGTGGGTAAGTCTTGACGATGTCTCAAATATATTAGTACGAGGTATGGTTCGCTATTGCTTCAAATAAGCTTGTATAGATGTATGTGTTTGCTTTTTAGCTCACTATGATATATGTAAATAATGAATGGAGTAACATGTTAAACTTAATTATTGTTTTTGGCAACTTATTCTTTGGTTATTCATGTGGTGTAATAGAAACCTTATAGTTTGTTGGCTCAGATTTTTTCTTTTCTTTTTTATGTTCAAAAGCCTGATAATAATGAGTTAATGAACTTTTTTTCTGTTCTTGAAGCTAACCTATAGGTGTGTAGGAATTGTAATAGATTCTATGCATTATTGATGTGCATTTATGGCTAGGAGACTTGCTGATAAACAAAATATAGGCCAAATTACTAACAAAAGTTTGAAAAGTTTGACTTGTGTTTTAGTGAAGCTATTGTACTTATTCTTAATTGACTATCATTTGTTTTCATCACTACATTTCCTTCCTTTTTAGTACATACTACACATGCAGAAAATTGATTTGTTTTTCTTGTTTTTCCATTGTAGCAGATTTAGAAAAATCCCATCATCAACGTGTATCTGAATTACAACGGCTTCGCTCCATGTATGTAATTTTACCTTTTTCTTGTCGCCTCTTTTTAACAAAGTGCCGCACCACCAATTATTTGATGGTGTAAGCATGATCCTATAAAGGTATATAGAGTAGGGTTTAATTTTTTAGGAGAAACTTTTTAACTTCTGATCCTGACAAGAAATCTTGTTTTACATCCATATTCTTGTGAAAGAACCTGGAGGTAGAATAACTGTTACAATTGTTATTGTGATTAACTTTTGTGGAGAAACTTCTTTGTAAGTTGCCCCTATAGAAACTACTGAGAAATATATATAAAATAAATGAATAAGTAAAATTCAAGAAAAAGTTGTAAGGTTATTAGTTACAATATTCAAGTTAGCACTTTGAAAGGAAGGAGGCTAGATGGGCTGCTGACCAATATGGTTTTCTTGTATTGATTGTATTCCGTTCTTGGTCCTAGATTTTGATAATTAGGTGCAAGTCTATCTTTAAGAAAATGAGAAAAACAGTTCTAAGGGTTTTTTTTTTTTTTTTTGGTTGTTGTGGACGTGATACATTTCTTGATATTTTCAGCTACTTTGTGGGGTTCCTGTTGAGTGCTTATTTTCTTATGGTTTATAGTTGTTTCATTATTTTGACAGATTTGGAACGAGTGAAAGACAGTGGGTAGAAGCCCAGGTTGAGAATGCTAAGCAGCAAGCGGTTCTCATGACACTGAAATCACAAGTAGCATCAGATGAAGCTCATATTCATCTTGATCTTCATTCGCTCAAGTAAGAGTGTTACATGTCTAGAATATTTCCCTTGACGTCTGGAGTTTTTATCTTCTAATAAATCTTAGATATATAATTAGCTTCCATGTCTTTGTGCTCCATATTAACCTTATTATACAAGGTATATGTTTTGAGTGTAGGGGATAGGTGTGAAACATGGTTAATGCTGGGAAAAAAGAAAGATTACATTCTTTGAAATGCTTGTTAAATTGTTTAATCTTTTTTTTTTTTTTCCCATTCTTCTAATTTATCTTTATTGTGTAAAAAGCTTTTATTTCTTTTATCCGTTACATGTTATATTTCTGTGTTGGTTATAAATTTGCAGAAGAAAGCACGTTGAACTGGTGGGAGAACTCTCGAATCTTTATCATAAAGAAGAGAAGTTGTTATCTGAGGTTTGTATGTACAAGTTTATATTGAAAGGTTCTATTTTTCAGTGATAGATTTGTGTGCTTAAGCGACTGAATAGCTGGCCAGTTTCCACCATAATATGGTGTGGATAAATTTAGCTGAATGCATTTTGCTATATATTCCTAGTTGGCACTTCCATCAGCTATCTTATATAAGTTGAAATAAGAATGTGTGAGCTATGTGTTAAGTTTGTTCCTTATACCTGTTGTACTACTTGGGCAGATACATTTAAATTTTAGGTTTATGGACACTGGAGATTTGCCTTTCTTATTACTGTGATTTTGAAGAAGAATAACAACATTTTACTGTTTGAAAAGTCAATGGGTTTGAAGCTCAGTAGCTAGGTTTGTTTCTAAATATATTGAATGAGGAATAACATGTATAAAAGAAATCTTGAAAGAAAGAGGCTAAAGAGTGTGATCAAAGAGATAGAGTAGGGAATCTTTAAGAAAAAAGAAGTTGGCTGAATTTGAGTTTTATGGTTATTAGGTGTATGATATGAAAGGCAATGATGAAAAGCATTGGTGATCCTATGTGTTTAGTAACTGTTTTTTTAAACTGTATTAATAAAGTAAAAATTGAATGTTGATATACTGGCTTGATAACATGTTTTTAATGGCGCATCAGAAACATTGTCACTAGATATCGAATATCTTTATGGTCAATTTATCTGTTCTTTTCGGGTTGAATTATAGTTGTATTTTTTTTTTTTTTTTTTTTTTATTAAAATAATTCTGCACTTGTTACAGGCTATTCCGGATCTTTGTTGGGAGCTGGCTCAACTCCAAGACACATACATTTTACAAGGTACTGTGTGGTAGCACTACTATTTTAGAATTATGATGGAGCAAATATCTGTCTCTATATTTCTATGGTAGTGATTGTTACAGTTAATATGGCTCTAAATTATGAACTTTAGGTGATTATGATTTGAAGGTCATGCGCCAAGAATTCTATATTAACAGACAGAAAGCAGTAAGTTTACTACTTTATATAGTCATTCGTTTTCTTTTTATCTCGTTATAGAAATCTGAGAACTGATGGCTTGTATGCCACTATTTTGGTAAGACTAAAAGAACCTAGTTATAGTTGGCCTGGAGCTTGATACTGATTGGGTTCTCGTCAGTGAGAAGTGCAATGTTTTCATATTACCTAGAGCTATCATCATCTACTTGGCTAGCACTTTCAGAGTGTTATACAGTTCTAGTCTTTTGATTTATGTGCAAGTAATGTGCCAGGATATTTAAATTCTCAGTTTCTTTTGGCAGTTCATAAATCATCTGATCAATCAGCTTGCAAGGCATCAGTTCCTAAAAATAGCCTGTCTGCTGGAAAAGAAGACCATGCTTGGAGCATATTCACTGCTTAAAGTTATTGAGTCAGAGCTTCAGGGATACCTATCAGCAACCAGAGGCCGAGTGGTACTAAACTCTTAATTTGTGCATGTTTGCTTCTCTTGACTCTTGGTTTATTTTTTGGTACATAGGGGAATATTAGTACATTTATGTCCCATCAAGCCGAGCACTTTTCTCTTGGCAATTTTCAACTATAGCCCTTACCTCTGAAAGTATAGATACATGCATTAATAGTACCAGGTTCCTCTTATGGGTATTTGGCTATATGCTAATTTCAATAAATTGACTTCTAACAACAGGTTAATTCCTCGTACATTACTTCAAATCATGTTTTTTTGTGTATAGGCAGGGTTATGGGGAAGATATTATGTACCCAATGCAAATTTGCAAGCCCATACGCACAGAAGCAAATGTCCTACATGCCCTTATATTCGTTAGCAAAGTTGGACTAGTTGGACAAGGAAATGTTATTGGTTGGATGTTCTATTTGGTCTATACGTTTGGGAATTTGCTCTCTTATCATACAGTGTTGTAGCCTATTCTAGCTCCCAACTAACCCTCGGCAAATCTACTCCCTCTGTCCTACATAAGCCAGTACATAAGCCAGACAATTACTTAGCTTATGTATCCATTTCCTTTACACTATTAATATCACTTGTATTTATATACCATTGTTTTGATTTCTGCTAATTGCTTTGTATTGCTCTGAAACCTTGTTTATTTATCCCTTTTTCTTTTTTGAAATCCTAATGATGTTACAGGGTCGTTGCCTGGCACTGATTGAAGATGCTTCTGATGTACAAGAGCAAGGCGCAGTGGATGATCGTGACACTTTTCTGCATGGTGTTAGAGATCTTTTAAGTATTCATTCAAGTAATGAAAATTTTCCATTAAAATAGCTTGTTTTTTCAGTTATTGCAGTTTTTTAAAATTTTCTATTAATAATGGAATTTTGGTTTTTTCTTACAATTACTATTTTTCATAGATGCTCAAGGTGGGCTGTCAACATATGTATCTGCTCCTGGGATTGTTCAGCAGATATCTGCTCTTCATTCAGACTTAATGACCCTTCAGTCTGATCTTGAAAATTCTCTTCCAGGGGATAGAAATAGATGCATCAATGAGCTGTGAGTGATGTACTCTACTATCACTGTTGTTTTAGATTTTATATTGTCACTTCATAATGAAGGCTTCATGCTTCTTGGATTAAGAAGTGGCCAAATGTGTTAGTTGTTGTCAAACTCCGAAATCTGAGCCTGGATTTTGAGATTATTTGCTGTGATTGAATTTCTTTTAGCATTTATAACTTTGATCTATCCTTCTGACAGCTCAAAAACAGATGCTATGTCATATCTTGAGCAATAATATGTATTCGTGTTATATTTTAATGTCTTGCTAACATCTCATTGTTTTTTTCCTGTCTGTGTTAGGTGCACTCTTATTCAAAGTTTGCAGCAATTATTATTTGCATCTTCAACAACTGCACAACCAATATTGACACCCCGGGTAGGGGCTTCATCAAAGTTTTACATTCATTCTTGCTTGTTAAATGTGTATTCCAGCGCTTATAAATTTCTAGTTTTACTGCAGTTATTGATACTCTTTTTTCTATGTTGTTCCCTGTATTACTGCTTTCTGTGATCGGTCATAATTTTTAGTTGTGGAGATGTCTTTTTTATGACATATGAGAGAATTAGAACTGGCACTAGTATCTATCAGGAAATCTGTGAAAGTCAGACGTTTGTTGGAAATGAGTTAGAGACATGCTTGGTCTCATCCACTTTACAAGTCTCACAATCTGTTGGATTCTTGGTTGTGGCATTTGCTGCCTCACCAACTCAGTCCAATTGGGGTTACAGTGTTGAAGAGATAGTATCCTGAAAGGGTAGTCCAGTGAGAATGGTATGGGTATTTCAGTTAAATGCATTTTAAGGATTTAAAAGGAGACTTCTATTTCCTTGAACTTATTATTTCTAGAGGCCATTTAGTAGTCTATTATTATTGTATGTACTGCCCTGATAAATGTTTACACTGCCTTTTTCTCCTTTTTGGTGTTCATCATGTGTTCTAATGTGATTCATATTGTGCTCTTGAAACTTCCAAAGCCATTAATGAAAGAGCTTGATGAAATGGAAAAGATCAACGCAAAACTATCTGTTGCAGTGGAGGAAGTAACACTGGAGCACTGTAAGAAAAATGAGGTAATATTTTATGAGTTCAATCTTTCATCATTGGATTTCTCATTTTTCACAGCGACCACATTGTATCTTTAACATCATTTTGAAACTCATTTGTTGCAGATTATTAAACATCATTCTCAGGAGGTTGGGCTTCAAAGGCGAGTTTTTGTTGACTTCTTTTGCAATCCTGAACGCTTGAGGAGCCAAGTCCGAGAATTGACTGCTCGTGTCAGAGCCTTACAAGTTTCTTAATCCCTTGGTCTGTTTTCTTCCAAAATTATAGGTTAGAGTGAATCATTGTTATTGTTATGTAATTAGAGCAATATTGTGTTTAAAAAAACAAAAAAAAAAAAAAAACAAGGGATGTGTATCAGATTTATTGAAGTAATACGCACGTGGGATTGGATGATTGTGAACATTAAGATAAGAAACTCCTAAGTTGGATGCGAGTATTAGTATAGAATGCTTATAATTGGCAATGTTTTACAATATTAATTTTTCTCTTGAAGTAATTAATTTAGTTCCTTCCAGGGGAAAAATATTTGAAGAATTTGTCAACTAGTGATTTACATTTTACATCTTGATTCTTTGTTAACATACAGATGTGTTGGCCAAGTAAATGTTAAGGGCTTGTCTTCTCACTTCTCAGCCCAGCAAAACCTGAGGAGTTTGCCCATGCCTCCTGCTTGCTTGTTCTACCATTATCTTGTACTAATTACAGGGTAGTCCCGTCGAACAACTTGCGTGGGAATCACCAAAATTTAAAGATTATGTTACACCGGCACATGATTGGGTGCTAACAAACATTACCGGTGAGAGAGCCCTAGAATTGGTATGCAATACCGGCAAAACTGGTGCGTCCAGGTTTAATGCGCTAGAAGTGAAGCCTTTTCCAATGGTGTAGTGAGCATCAGTAATAGGTTTACACCATCTTCTCACATCAACAAAATGCCATATCACTTCCCTCAAATAAAAAAAAAAAGCCCCAAATTTGAAAAAACCCAAAATTTCAATTCCCGCTAAATTAGAAATCTCTCAAAATTGACCTACAAATCAGTCTTCCAGCACCGCGCAACTCCTCTTCCTAAATAAAAAATTTCTCTCCCAAAACCCAATTGAAACCCTAGAATGGAAATTGAACTCAACACCATCATTCACAACTCCTCTTCCACCACTGTCATTTGTGACTCCTCTTCCACCATAGCGGGCTATCGTCTTCCACCACCACTCGCTACCGTCATTCGCGACTCCTCTTCGACCACCACAGGCTATCCTTTACAAACCCACACGTTTTGGGCCACCAATCTATCCTCTTCCACCACCACCAACCTATACTTTTCAAAGGTGAATCTTTGAGTTCTTGAATTTGGCTTTTAAGTTGATTTGATTACTTATTTCTAAAAGTTGTTTAGGATTTTTGAGATTTTCTAATTGTTCATTTTTATATGTTTGATTGAATAGATTGCAGTCTGAACTGATGGCCTTAATGGTAAGAACATTGATATATAATTTTCTTTTTCTTTTTAATTTCTAATTTTCTGTTTGGATGGAGAGAAAATTAAGAACCCAGAAACGGAAAGTTACGTTTTCATTAAGAAAAATAACTTAATTAAAATTTTAAGTTGCTTACATCTGAATTTATGCCCCAATCTGTCATCTATTTTCTTGTAATTTTATCTAAATTTCTGTTTGATTTCTAAGAAAATTTATAACCAAGAGGAGGAAAGTTACTCTTTTCACCAAAAGTAATGTTCATATTTCAAGGCTTAAAGGATTAAATTTTGAATTTTTTATCATTGAATTCAATGTAATTTCTAACGAATGGAGATTCTGGGATATCTGCATTCTCTGAAGACAATATATTATGCTGGAAAGGTACATTCCATGGAAAAAAGACAGTTTTTGAAGGCACAAAGTACAAGCTATCCCTTTCTTTCCCAAGCAATTATCCATTAAAGCTGTTATGCCTAAAAAATCAGGGCTGAGATAGGCTTACATCAGCGTGGACCAATCAGAATTCAGAAAGGTATTGTGCCATCCAAGCGCTCCCACGTCGCCCAAGGACTGAAGAAGTTAGGCTGTCATCAACTTGGCAAGTAAAGGTATGGCTAGTGAGTGGCTGGGAGTCACCCACTTGCCCAAGCCCTGCGTTATTTAAGGATATCTACCATACAACCAACCAATGTGAAGCACAGTGGGAACTGTATGGCACCTGCAAATCCATAATCATTACCTAAAAACCTCTTACTATAAATAGAGGACTTCTCTCTATTTTTCGGGATTCTAGTTCTGAAAACAAAAACACACACACACTCTCTCTCTGTATTTTTGTCATCTTAGATCACTGCATGTGACATGATTGTACTCTTTCATAAATAAAAAGACAGTGGATGTAGGATTCGCTTTGACCATTCGAACCATTTTAAAAATCGTCTCCCTTTCATTTGTTTCATTTTCTAGTTCACGTGTAATTTCCAAGTCCGCTTAGCACTTTGCACGTGTGAATAGTTGGTGTCAAAATCCAGCATCAATAGTTTGGCGCTAGAAGGAGGGTTTGATTTAGTATCTGCTCTTCATCATGAATCTTTGATCAATCGAGTCTGTTCACTAGCAAATGGCCCGTGGTTTCAATATCGAGCGAGGTAGCCCCAGCAAAGAGGAGGTCCCCTAGGTACAGGATGACACTTCTCCTGAAGTGCCCCTGATTCAGCATAGTACTGCGGCAAACATTCCTTCGAGGTCACAACTCGACCAAGCTGTGATGGATTACCTAGAAAGGTTCAACAATACTCTCTAAACGGTTAATCGAAGGTTAGATCGTTTGGATCAAGTCGTACCACCCGAGTTCGATAAGGCGATGTTACCGCTAAAAAGGCCTGTAGGTCACGCTAAAGCGCGGAAACGGGCAAAGGCCCATGTGATGCGTTGTAACTACAACATGCAATGTATAGTAGTGTACTAGTTGCAAAAAGTAATAAAGTGATAAGTAAAGTATCGTTCCCACAAGGATTGGTTGTTAAGCACTGATTTTTCCTAATTGTTCTCAAGTTGGAGAAATCGAAAGGTGTTTGGATTTACGGGAGAAATTTAAACTAAGATGGAAACAAAATTTATTAAGTATTTAAAATACTAATTAATGAAAGCAAGATTAAAACAAGAGTAATATCAAGTAAGGCAAACAGTTAGGGTTGTGACTTCATTAGGACTCTATGAATTAATCTACTAATTATGCCACTTCTACACTCACATGCACGGATCATAAATCGAACTCCCTACTGTGTAAAACATACCTTCTCAGGCTATGTTTTCCTACTTTTCCCTATTAAGCTTCCGCACTCAAAAATTTGAAGATTAATGGATACAAGTTCGTTAAGCTAATGGAATCCTAAATTGATTTCATTGATTCTCAAATCTATCTCTAGCATTCGATACAACAATGGTGATTATCCTAAGAAGCTCACACATGATTCATTTCTCAATCTCATCATGTTCAACAAATAAATTCAATAAAAACAAGAATAATTACACAATCCATGCAATAGAATGTAAAAGCAACAATAATCTATTGATTAACCATAGAAATCCTAATTACATCAAAACCTTAACCCAAAGTGAGTTAGTTCATAATGAAATTAACACAAATCGCAATAAAAACAGGAAACACAGCATTCAACATGTTGAAACAAAGAAAAGAGAGCAAAGATCTTCCCTATTTGATGAATCCACAAGGTTCAATCTCAATTCTTCTCTCCTTTTTCTCCCAAAATGTCAAACTTACTCTAAACAATGACGAACCTCTCTAAAAATGGCTAAGTTTTTCTTATATAGTCGGTCCAAAAACCTAAAAACTTTCCTAAAATAAAACTGTGCGTTTTGAATAAAATTGCAAATCGCAGATTTCGCCACGGCGAAGAATAGTTAAGTTGAAATCTTATGCCGAGAGTCTATCGCCGTGGCGAAGAATGAACTTCGTTGCGGCGAACCTTCCTGAACAATTATGAATTTACGAAATTTTCCTCCGCTTGCTTCCTTGCTTGAATCTTCAATTTTCAATGCTCTCCAATGGGAACAAGCTTCATAGTGCTTCAAATACGCTTCAGAATTTCTCCGAATTCTGAGATTCGCTTGCTTCTGGGTCTAGAAACTCAATTCCGCTCATTATTTGCTCAAAGTGCACGTTTTGGCCTGAAACATAAAATTTGTAAAATTAAGTTGCAATTCAGGCACAAGCAAAATAAGAAGTATCCAAAATCCGGCCAAAAAGCCTAAATGAAATAGTATAATCCTCAGATTATCACCATGCCGCGCGTACTACAGCGCGAAAAGGTAAGGGAAAACAGGTGGTAGATAGTGGGCTAAAGGGCTCCAAGGGACTAGCGAATACCAGTTACGAAATAGGTAAGATACCTATGTCTTTGCGACTTGGCGACATATCGCATCATGAACCGTCCCATGCCACATCGCATAGGCACCCCCACAAGAGTGCAAGGCAAGGAAACCCCCAGCAACTATGGGTCGGTTCTGACCACTGCAGTGGTCGAGCTAACTCCCTGAACCTTTCATTACCTTCACACGGCTCTAGTCAGCGTCTGTTGAGATATGTTAGAGCCTTCGACCGAGGCGAGGAAGAGTCCGATTTGTGGTCTTTCCTCAACCGTAATCATGAGGGTCAAACCCACGTTGTAGAAAATGATCCACAGGTAGCTGCACTGCCTCAGATTAAGGAGTTACAGTGAGCTCTGGATCAGTTTAGAGCTCAGCAAAACGAGAGTGGACAAGTCGCTGAGGCGTCTCCCTTCTTTCTAGTAGTGTTAGCTACTCGTCTCCCGTCAAGGTTTAGAATACTCGATATGCGAGCATTCGATGGAAATTCTGATCCACAAGATCACCTCTATGAGTTTAACGACCTCATAAAGCTTCACTAAATTTCCAACTTGGCCAAGTGTCGCTGTTTGGCAGTGACCCTGACTGCCCATGCCAAGTACTGGTTTAGATCGCTTCCGCCAGGATCTACTAGCTCGTGGCAGTAGATGAACTCGTTATTCTTGAGACACTTCAAGGCGAACAGGAAGTTCTCAATGTCGTTAAGCTATCTGAGCAACATATGATGGGAAAAGAATGAATTCCTCCAGTCCTACATTGACAGGTTCCATAAGGAACTGCACGAGGTGGCTAACACACTTGAAGAATCTGTTCGGACTCTCATTATTGCGGGAGTCCGCCCGCAAACTGACCTGTGGAAGAAACTGCAATCTGATGATGACATTTTCCTTGCTCGCTTCTACAACCTTACGGAGAAGTATCTCTGAATAGAGAATTTTGTGGTCGCTCACAATCGCCATGACCCGAGTCCTTCGACCAATGCTCCTAACTAAGGGAAGGGTAGTAGAAAAGCTAATCGCAAGTGGGCTAGCGACGATCAATGGAAGGGAAAGAAGCTGTGGTTTGAACCTAAGAAATCCTATGCCCAGGTTCCTCATTGCGATCGTGACAAGAATCAGTATACTCCTCTAAATGCGTTAGTATTAGCTATTCTGGAAAAGTCAG